CCAACTAAGAAATCAAAATTGTTTTTACCGATTATGATACAATATATATTTTTTTTTCTTCGAATATGTCAATAAATGTTACAGAACATTATCACGGCTTTATTAATAACATTTCCTTTTTTACATTTTCCCTGTTCTATTCTATCTATTATCTTTTTTATGTATTTGCAATAGCATTCTATCTATTATCTCTTTTATGTATTTGCAATAGCATATCTAATAATTTGCGATAAATTAAAAGCAATTAACTTAATTATATTTTTAAATCGATAAAATTGCAAAGCTTTTTGTCACTTGTTGTAATATAGATTTCTACACTCTTAACAAAATGTATAAAATATATATTTTTCATAATTCATGGCAAGTTAAATTAATCAGTATTGAATCGAACACAAATGAGACGTGTAAAAATTCAAGGAAATTGCCATTGCCCACTCTTACAAATTCAACCACAAAAGTTTAGGTATCACGTGCGTAAAAACGTTTTCTGTTATGATTCACGACCTCGCTGGTAGAAAGTGCCATGCTAGATCCTGATGTTTTGCTAGCTCCCATCTTGACTGTCATATGTTGTATCCCCATTTAATATAATAAATTTAGTTTTGATATAATAAATTTAGTGGCGCGAATCAGCGTCAAGCTATATCTAGCAAGGCGCTAGAAATATACTATGTTAATAATGTCTGACTAGAAGTAGCCTGGCGCTAATTTACTCCAGACTACTTCTAGTCAGGCGCTATTCAAGGCTGGAAAAAGATAATTTCTGACATGGAATTTCTGGCATGGCTAGATAGTACAACATCAGAACTAGCGTGCGTCACACCACGGCTATATAGCACTATACTAGAGCTAGCTAACGCCTGACTATCGATTAAGTCGGGTATTAGACTGGAAGAATGTGATGATTTTGTGTCTGGCGCCAGTCTGCATGCCATACTAGCTCCTTATCAGACAGTGGGGCAAGTAAGTTAGCGCCAGCCTAGCACCATGGTGATTTTTCTACCAGGGCTCCTCTGTGCCGAAATAAGAATATATAAACGAATATCTCATATCTGTACAAGCTACGAAAACAGAAACGTGTTTTTGTCGTGCTAATAAAATAATAAAAGTTTTAAATCTTTGAAACGTACATTGGAATTGATTTTGCACCACATCTTTAGTAAGTACAAATTATTAATCGTTAATGTCTTAGTTCAAAATCCGGCCTCATATAAACATTAAATATCAAAATTGTGGTCAAATATGTTTTGCATATTGATTTACGATATTTTTTGCACTTTAAATTCGCATTTTTTATTCTTATTGCTTCTCCTTAAAAAAAAACCATACAATACATTATTAAATATTGTTATGATTTTCTACATCCTCGATCGTTTCGTCTTAAAACCACATAAATATACATAAGTAAATATCATGTTCGATTCAAGTTGGGCATCATGCAGAATAATAAAGAAGATGAACATTGTGAACATTCTAGCGGCAATAGTTGCACACAGAATTTCGCAATAGAGATATTGTATCAACCTTGTCTCGAAGAATTGCAAACGGGTACGTAATTTATAAAACCTAATTCAGTGCCCACATATTTAAATGCATTCATTATTATTCGACAATAGTTCTAACTGTGGCATTAAAGGTGGTTTTCGAGGACGTGAAAGTCAAAATAACCAGCTGTCCACAGTTGACGAAGGAACCCTTCAATCTTGCTGCGAATGGTGAGAAATCTAGAGTTCCTGATTTTGCGTTTAAAATACAACATAGATCAAATTTACAGGACTGCATGGCAACACGGCAATTATAAGATGCGACACGAAAACGATGACGCAGAGAAAGTGGAATATGAAATATTTTCTTCAGAATATTCCTTACGATTCCTTTCTCATCGGAGGGGGATTCGGTGCAAAGCCGAATCTGCCGTCCAATGGCTATGTATGCATTACTGATACTATTACGCATAAGACAACAAATCGACTTCTAGAATATGACAACAGCTTGTTACGTACTTGTTACGATTTATCGCTGTTTTAGTTTTACTTTAATTTCACTTTTTTCTTATTAATCTTTATATTGTTTTTAATTCAAGCTTCAAGGTCTCAATAGTATCGCTAATTTTTACTGTGAATTGCTGTTACAGCTCATCATGAATGCTACATTCTCACGGCCTGAACAAATTAATAACGCGAGTCGCCTTGCTTATGTAAGAAGTTTCACTGACTCGGGAATAGTGGAAATTATGAAAGAACCCGACCAAATGACATGCTGTGCAACTGGCAACTTCTTTATGAGTGAAGGTAGACCAGGACTAGTTCTTGAAGTACGAGCTAAAAAGCGCAAATATTCGAGAACCAATATCATATCGATAATAGGGAAAGCACTCTATTTGAATTATAAAATTAAAGACAAAGTTGTTGGTAAGAGACAATACAATTAAACATATTCAATTGAACAAAAAAATTAAAAACATGATAATTAAGTTAGTGCTAAAGCAATTTTTCCGTATCCAATTCACAGGCCTAGGTGGTGTATTATTGATAAACAAAGGAGAAGTGTTGGTATCTGTTATATCAAATAATATTCCAGAGAATCAAATAATCTCATCGAACGATCTTCTTAACCGAGTGGAACATCGTCCCATAAATTGTACATCGAATATAACAGCTTTTGGTACAGTTGTCGGTAGCAAAGAAACTTTGTTGAGCGCGGTACGTTATGATTACATAAATTATTTTGTTACATTGTTCAAATGTAGATACTAAGAGATAATCAATATTTAGATTAACATTTTATGGTCTTCAAACGTCAAAAAGGCTGTATTTAAACAATAAATTTTAATTCTTTCATTTTTTTCTCTTCAGATAATTACATGTATTCGCGCTAATCAAATTAAAATAATAATTTATTTTTATATTTACATTTATATTATATACAAAATGAAATAATATACAACTAGAAATACTAAAGTTTCATGCAGTTATGCTTGACTATAATATAATTTTTTAGCCATATCCATGTCATAGTTTTTTCACTTTCTCGGAAAACAATATAGGCGGACGATTTGTTAAGGATGTCACACCGGACGAAACAGAATATGTAGGATATTTCAATACAGCGGAATATCTCTATCACCTCACCTCTTAAATAATCAATTAGATGACTCAATAAAATTCAATAATAAAATACTTAAGAACAATTCTTTTGCATTGTTTAGCAGATATGTGTTACGTATTTTTATATATGATATCTTTGAATAATATGTTATAAATATTATGTTATAATATTTATAATAATACGATATAACTACAGAAAAACTCTTATGATTTTGTGAGAAAAATACAGCTTTCTCTTCTCATTTGATATATGAAAAGTAAGATAATCATTTAAAAAATCATTACTCTCTAAATTTTTTGAAGTGAAATTTTTACTCTAATCATCACTGACCACACTCCATGTGGAGTTAGCGCTCCAAACTTCACTCCAACTTAAAATGAAAATCGCTTTCTCGTTGGTAGTGTCAAAACCGGGGGAGGTTAATATATTTTGTACGTAATTAGGGATAGTGAAAGTAATTAATTGCTATCGAAAACATTAACAAAATCCCAGACAATACGCATATCCAAAATCTTTAAGATGTCGGGGAATTAGACGTCTTAAAGATGTAAACATCGTGTCAAAAAGGTGTTAAAAATGACATCTTTAAGACGTCCCGGTTTCACTTTTTTGAAAAATAGAATTTCACTCCACTTCGACGGGCAGTATATTTATTATTACTTGAATGACTTTTCACTCCAAAAGAGTGAGATTGCACGCCAAGAAATTTAGAGAATACGTAATATTTTATATTAATTCAACTCTGACGTCTTGTTTGTATTACGCAATAAACACATTTTATATTATTCACGTCAAATCTAAAAATAACGTATTAATGAAATATTCTGTTTTTTTTTTGAAAAATTCTTTTTAAAAAATTGAAATTATGTAACATGCATGCAATCCTCATAATTTTTGTAATTTTCATAGTATTATGAATTCAGTGTAATAAAAAAATACCATATACACTGCATGAAACGTTATATATAGGCATATTCTCAAATTTAACTCAAACAGTTACATTTTTCATAAATATAAATTTACATTTTATTTGAAATTACACCAAAAATTTAATTAAGTTAAAATAATGATAATATCGGCAAAAAAGCCAATTCATTGAATTTCAATCTTATCAATCAATCTTATCTTTCAGAAATATCTTGATCGTTTTTTTATATTCTTCATTCATCAGTCTAATATGCATTGCTTTCTTAAATGTATAAAAATATAATTGAAAAACTGATATATTTATTTAAACGCTATATCTAGCCAGCATGTATGAAAAGTTAAACAATTATATCTAACCAGCTTATATAAAAAATTAAAACAAGTATAAATTAAAAAATTTTTTTTTAAATTACGTAAGAAAAAATTGCTCCCTTAATTTCTTAATAAAATTTTTAAAAATGATCATTCTTCACCTATTTTAATTATTTGTAAATGTGCTAGTTTAATGTACTCATGTTGTAATAAACAAAAGATACATCCAAATCAGAAAATATAAAAAAGTGCCTAATTTTTAAAAAATTTTAAATTATGTTATCAAAAAATTGGGTATATATATTTTAAGTTTTTATATCATCTAGTTAGATATATGTCCAACTAAGAAATCAAAACTGTTTTTACCGATTATGATACAATATATATTTTTATTTCTTCGCATATGTCAATAAATGATACAGAACATTATCACGGCTTTATTAATAACATTTCCCTTGTCACATATTCCCTATTCTATTCTATCTATTATCTTTTTATGTATTTACAATAGCACATCTAATAATTTGCGATAAATTAAAAGCAATTAACTTAATTATATTTTTAAATCGATAAAATTGCAAAGCTTTTTGTCACTTGTAATATAGATTTCTACACTCTTAACAAAATGTACAAAATATATATTTTTCATAATTTATGGCAAGTTAAATTAATCAGTATTGAATCGAACACAAATGAGACGTGTAAAAATTCACGGAAATTGCCATTGCCCACTCTTACAAATTCAACCACAAAAGTTTAGATATCACGTGCGTAAAAACGTTTTCTGTTATGATTCACGACCTCTTCTGTGCTGAAGTAAAAATATATTAACAAATTTCTCATATATGTACTAGCTACGGAATCAGAAACGTGTTTTCGTCGTGCTAATAAAATAATAAAGGTTTTAAATATTTGCAAGCGTACGTTGGAATTGATTTTGCACCACATCTTTAGTAAGTACAAATTTTTAACCATTAATGTCTTAGTTCAAAATCCGGCCTCATATATGTATTAAATATCGAAATTGTATATATGTATTAATTATCGAAATTGTGACTAAATATGTGTTTTGCATATTAATTTACGATATTTTTTGCGCTTTAATAATTTGCATTTTTTATTCTTATTGCTTCTCCTTAAAAAAAACCACACAATACATTATTAAATATTATTATGATTTTCTACATCCTCGATCGTTTCGTCTTAAAACCATATAAATATACGTAAAAAAATATCATGTTCGATTCAAGTTGGGCATCATGCAGCATAATATAAAAGATGGATATTGTGAACATTGTGGCAACAGTAATTGGATACATAATTTCCCAAAAGAGATATTGTATCAACCTAGTCTCCAAGAATTGCAAAAACGTACGTAATTTAAAAAACTTAATTCAGTACATATTTAAATGCATTCATTATTATTTGACAATAGTTCTAACTGTGACATTAAAGAAGAGTTTCGAGGACGTTGTGGTCAAAATAACTAGCTGTCCACAGTTGACGAAAGAACCCTTCAATCTTGCTGCAAATGGTGAGAAATCTAGAATTCCTAATTTTGCGTTTAAAATACAACATAGATCAAATTTACAGGACTGCACGGCAACACGGCAATTATAAGATGCGACTCGAAGACGACGCAGAGAAAGTGGAATATGAATTATTTTCTTCAGAATTTTCCTTACGATTCCTTTCTCATCGGAGGGGGATTCGGTGCAAAGCCGAATCTGCCGTCCAATGGCTATGTATGCATTACTGATACTATTACGCATAAGACAACAAATCGACTTCTAGAATATGACAACAGCTTGTTACGTGCTTGTAACGATTTATCGCTGTTTTAGTTTTACTTTAATTTCCCTTATTTTTTATTAATCTTTATATTGTTTTTAATTCAAGCTTCAAGGTCTCAATAATATCGCTAATTTTTACGGTGAATTGCTGTTGCAGCTCATCATGAATGCTACATTTTCACGGCCTGAACAAATTAATAACGCGAGTCGCCTTGCTTATGTAAGAAGTTTGACTGACTCGGGAATAGTGGAAATTATGAAAGAACCCGACCAAATGACATGCTGTACAATTGGCAACTTCTTTATGAGTGAAGGTAGACCAGGACCAGTTCTTGAAGTACAAGCTAAAAAGCGCAAATCTCCGAGACCCAATATCATATCGATAATAGGGAAAATACTCTATTCGTATTATGGTGTTAAAAACAAACTTGTTGGTAAGAGACAATACAATTAAATATATTCAATTAAACAAAAAAATTGAAAACACAATAATTAAGTTAGTGCTAAAGCAATTTTTCTGTATCCGATTTACAGGCCTAGGTGGTGTATTATTGATAAACAAAGGAGAAATGTTGGTATCTGTTATATCAAATAAAATTCCAGAGAATCAAATAATCTCATCGAACGATCTTCTTAACCGGGTGGAACATCGTGCCATAAATTGTACATCGAATATAACAGCTTTTGGTACAATTCTCGGTAGCAAAGCAACTTTCTGGGACAAGGTACGTTATGATTACATAAATTATTTCTTTACATTGTTCAAACGTAGATACTAAGAGATAATCAATATTTAGATTAACATTTTATGATCTTCAAACGTCAAATAGGCTGTATTTAAACAATAAATTTTATTTCTTTCATTTTTTTCTCTTCAGTTAATTACATGTATTCGCGCTAATCAAATTAGAATAATAATTTATTTTTATATTTACATTTATATTATATACAAAATGAAATAATATACAACTAGAAATACTAAAGTTTCATGCAGTTATGCTTGACTATAATATAATTTTTTAGCTATACCCACGTCATTGTTTTTACACTTTCTCGGAAAACAATGTAGGCGGACGATTTGCTAAGGATGTAACACCGGACGAAACAGAATATGTAGGATATTTCAATACAGCGGAATATCTCTATCACCTAACCTCTTAAATAATCAATTAGATGACTCAATAAAATTCAATAATAAAATACTTAAGAACAATTCCTTTGCATTGTTTAGCAGGGTTGTGTTACATATTTTTATATATAATATCTTTGAACAATATGTTATAAATATTATGTTATAATATTTATAATAATACGATATAACTACAGAAAAACTCTTATGATTTTGTGGGAAAAATACAGCTTTCTTTTCTTATTTGATATATAAAAAGGAAGATAATCATTAAAAAAATCATTACTCTGTAAATTTTTTCGAGTGAAATTTTCACTTTAATCATGGAGTCACTGACCACACTCCATGTGGAGTTAGCGCTCCAAACTTCACTCCAACTTAAAATAAAAATCGCCTTCTCGTTGGTAGTGTCAGAACTGGGGGAAATTAATGTATTTTGTACGTAATTCGGGATAGTGAAAGTAACTAATTGCTATCGAAAACATTAACAAAATTCCAAACAATACGCATGTCCAAAATCTTCAAGATGTCGGGGGATAAGTCGTCTTAAAGATGAGGACATCGTGTCAAAATGTTAAAAATGACATCTTTAAGACATCCCGATATCACTGTTTTGAAAAATAAAACTTCACTCCACTTCGACTGGCGGTATTTTCATTATTACTTGGAATGACTTTTCACGCCAAAAGAGTGAGATTCCACTCCAAGAAATTTAGAGAGTACGTAATATTTCATATTAATTCAACTCTGACGTCTTGTTAGTATTACGCAATAAACACATTTTATATTATTCACGTCAAATCTAAAAATAACGTATTAACAAAATATTCTATTTCTTTTTGATAATTTCTTCTCAAAAAATTAAAATTATGTAACATGCCTGCAATCCTCATAATTTTTGTAATCTTTATAGTATTATGAATTCAGTCTGATAAAAAAATACCAAATACAATTCATGAAACGTTATATATAGGCATATTCTCGAATTTAACTCAAACAATTACATTTTTCATAAATATAAATTTACATTTTATTTGAAATAACACCAAAAATTTAATTAAGTTGAAATAATGATAATATCGGCAAGAAAGCCAATTCATTGAATTTCAATCTTATCAATCAATCTTATCTTTCAGAAATATCTTGATCGTTTTTTTATATTCTTCATTCATCAATCTAATATGCATTGCTTTCTCAAATGTATAAAAATATAATTGAAAAACTGATATATCTATTTAAACGCTGTATCTAGCCAGCATGTATGAAAAGTTAAACAATTATATGTAACCAGCTTATATAAAAAATTAAAACAAGTATAAATTAACAAATTTTTTTTTAAATACGTAAGAAAAAATTGCTCTCTTAATTTCTTAATAAAATTTTAAAAAATGATCATTCTTCACCTATTTTAATTATTTATAAATGTGCTAGTTTAATGTACTAATGTTGTAATAAACAAAAGATATATCCAAATCAGAAAATATAAAGAAATGCCTAATTTTTTGAAAATTTTAAATTATGTTATCAAAAAATTGGGTATAGATATTTTAAGTTTTTATATCATCTAATTAGATATATGTCCAACTAAGAAATCAAAATTGTTTTTACCGATTATGATACAATATATATTTTTATTTCTTCGAATATGTCAATAAATGTTACAGAACGTTATCGCGGCTTTATTAATAACAATTCCCTTTTTACATTTTCCCTATTCTATTCTATTTATTATTTTTTTATGTATTTGCAATAGCACGTCTAATAATTTGCGATAAATTAAAAGCAATTAACTTAATTGTATTTTTAAATCGATAAAATTGCAAAGCTTTTTGTCACTTGCTGCAATATAGATTTCTACACTCTTAACAAAATGTACAAAATATATATTTTTCATAATTCATGGCAAGTTAAATTAATCAGTATTGAATCGAACACAAATGAGACGTGTAAGAATTCACGGAAATTGCCATCGCGCGCTCTTACGAATTCAACCACAAAAGTTTAGATATCACATACGTAAAAATGAAACTTGTGAAATACGTGATGGAAATGTTTTGAAATTTTCCACGAAGTCAAATTTCTATCAATCGTGACGAAAGTTTGCCGCGATATCTTAATTGCAGATCAAGTTGAGTTTGCGCCGCCGTTTTTTATTACATCAAAAAAGTTTTTCTCCCAAGTTTTGCGATAATAGAGGAAATTGTTTTGCGGCACGTGTCGGAACGAAAGTTGCGCGAATTCTTGCTTTTCGATGTGATAATATAATGATAAAATTACAACATCTGGGATAAATTATCTCAGTTATTTGGGATAATGTAACATGAAAAGAATTATTCCGGTTCTGGGATATAAATTATGGAATACAAACCATCCCGAAAACTTCGCGCTTGTTACAAACCAATAAATAATACCAAAGAAATCAAAGCTAAAAGAACGGCATAATATACATAGTTATTGTATATTAAAAAAGTTTTTATGTAAAATTTGAAGAGTGTATAATAATAAAAATAAATTTTGAAAGTTTATTTATATTTTAATTTAATATAACGTTTAATATAAACTTAATTTCAATTTTATTTCAATATTTTGTATTATTAAGAATTGGAGATGTTAACAAATAGTTAGCTTTATAAAATCATCTCTATGAAAATATAAACTTCAAACTTTTCAAGAATTCAGGAATTTATGATTATAATGAAGTGCGCCGCTCAAAACTCTGTATTCTTCAATTTAAAACCGCAACATTCTACGTTGTTTTGCATAGCAGATGCAATGTCTGGGATACTCCACTTTGTTATCCGTTAAAAATCTCAAACTTTCGTCGTTCGGTATAATTAATTAATTGTTGTGACAATCAGTGAATCAATACAAAATGCAATAATGATAGATTAATAAAAAACGTGTTTAACCGTTTATTTCTGCTTTATTAAAAAAAAAACCCGTGTGAGGTGTCTCGGACACTGCGCGGGACAGCAATTTCTACTATTCGCAATATAAAGAGATACAATTTGTCTCGATGTACTGCAGAGCCATACGTCTATCTATAACTACGTATGTAAATTCCTACATCTGGTAAACCCACGTACGTGATAAGAGTACAAAGTGGCAGTGTTCTCTGACTACATAAAGTACATTATTTATTATTTTTATATGAATATAGAAAAAGAAGAGAAAAAGTAAGAGTTTGCTAGATTACTTTAGAATATTTATATCCGTAAATTTTTCATAATTTTTAATAATATGGTTTTGCTAATAACATCGTGTGACACGAATTTTAGACCACAAACCAGACAAGATGATTATTATAGATTTTTTGTCGCTGAAAACGAATCCGTTAATAAAATTGCTCTATCACGTCACATTTTAGAGAGAATTGAACCTAAAGGTGTCGAAAATGGCATTTTTGGATACTTTTGAGCTTAAGTATCTTAAAAATGTGACGTGGCAACATCATTAGCGATAAGGCAATTTCATTAGCGAATTCGTTTTCAACGACAAAAAGCTATAAGAATTATCTTGTCTGGTTTATGATCTAAACAAAAAGTTTAATTTGTTCTTACAGTGTAATTGACTAAAGTAAGAATTAAAAATCTTCATAAAAAATTTACAAAGATAATTAAAATTGTTTGCTTTTTTCAAAATAATTAATTCTTCTTTAATAAAAAATTTAATAAAAAACTTGATATTTTGCTGTGGAAAATTAATGGAAAGTATTATGGCCTCTGAAATTTAGTTGTTGAAATGTAATAACTCCAAAAAAATTATCAATGTCTCGATATTGCTGAAAAAATCAACAAACAAAAGGAAACAAAAGGAATGTCTATTATTCATCAATTTTAGTATACGAGACTATATGAAAAATAATCACGCTTGACAAGAAAAAGGAATCACCATTCGTCTCGCAACATGAGAAAGAACCAGGTATATTTGTAATATATGAAACCTAGTTTGAATTTCACGTAGCTGCTTTGCAAGGCCGCGGAAACGTGTGCAGAGAAGCTGGTACAAGGATCGCACGTGCTAAGAGTTCCAAGCGCATGAGATACGTTTTCCTCCTTTTTCTTTCGATCCACGCCAACATCCACGAAGTGTATTCGTTTAAGTGGTAGGTATCGGCGAACCGATCCCTTTGACGCGATCCACGAGGAATTTGAAAATTCTAAAGGCCAGGCATTGCAAAACCGCGTACTTGCACGTGGTCAGACTTACAAAATTCCTTCTTTAGTAGCCTCTCTAATTTCTAAATGTAAATTATAAAGTGTTTTTGTTTCATGAATTTCGATCAGTGACATTACGATACGTTATAATATCCGATCAATAATGCCCAGCGACGTTTTTTATTGTGTACAAAGACAGTAATTTGTATTAAAAGTTTTAAAGCGGCTTCTGCAGACGCTCTTTACAGACTTTTCAGACAATAATTATAAACGCTTTCTACATCAAGAGAATGAATGAGAAATTTCTTTAATCGATTAAAAAAGAACATCAGAGATGTATATCGTAAATGCAACGGTGAAAAATGACATTAAAGGAAACATAATTTACTTTTGTATAATCGACACTTCGAACTCTTTTATCTTGGCGCTCTCGTTTGCAGTTCTACTTGCCTTTTGGCACCAGCGGAATTTATCACCTTCTTTTTATACCCGTTTCTCTCTTCGGAACTCCTTCAAATCTTAAACCGGAATGCGAATAAAAAGCACCGAGTCTCTTCGAAAAGCATCAAAGAAAAGGTCGAAAGAAAGAGAAACTTTTTAATAGTTTATTTTCCGTCTCATTATACTAACCAGATGTTGCTAAGTACGTTATTACTTTTCATGCCTGTTATTTTATCTTCTAATGTTCATTGTAAATGTAATATAACATTATATAGCATACAATATTACATTTCATAATGTTATATTATTAAAAATTAATATGTTAATAAGAATATAACTCAAAATATTTTGCTTCTTAAATTATAAATACGTCGAAACTGCATTTGGTTCTCGCAAAATTCGATCGTTATAACTATAAGCAATTAATCTTAGCAGTCCTTGCTTAAATACCGACGACTATTTCCTTGATTTAAAATCATCCCTTTAATATATTTTTATGATATAATCCCCGACG